GGCTCCCTGCTTGGCAGGGAGTCTGCTTCTCCCTCTGACCCTCCTCCCTCTCATGCTCTCTGTCTCTCATTCTCTCTCTCTCAAATAAATAAAATAAAAATTTTAAAAATTAAATTAGCTTAAGGTATACTACATAGTGATTTAACCATTATATACGTGATGAAATGCTCACCATGAGAAGTGTATTATAGTATTATCAACTATTCCCGGTGCTATACTTTTCATCCCCAAGACTTAACATTATAACTGGAAGTTTGTACCTCTTAGTCCCTTTCATGCATTTTGCTCATCTCCCCAATCTCCTTCCCTTTGGTGACCATCAGTTTGTTTATATTTATGCATCTGTTTCTCTTTTTGTTGTTGTTGTACTAGTTTGTTCTCTGAGTCTGTTTCTCCCTTTGTTGCTGTTTGTTTTCTCTTATTTTTTAGACTCCACATGTAAGTGAAATCATATGGTATTTGTCTTTGTCTGGCTTATCTTCCTTAGTATAATACCCTCTAGGTTCATTCATGTTGTCGCAAATGGCAAGATTTCATTATTTTATATGAATAAGTAATATTCTGTTGTGTATATATATATACATATAATCACACCACATATTTTTCATTCATTTATCTATCACTGAATACTTAGGTTTCTTCCATATCTTGACTATTGTAAACCACCTTGCAATAAACATAAGGGTGCATTTATCTTTCCCAATCAGTGTTTTCATTTTCCTCACGTAAATACCCAATAGTGAAATTACTGGATCCTATGGTACTTCTCTCTTTAAGAATTTTTTGAGGAACCTCCATACTGTTTTCCATAGTGGCTGCATCAATTTACATTCCCCAAACACCAGTGCATGAGGGCTCCCTTTGCTCCACATCCTCACTTACTTTTTGTCTTTTTGGTACTAGCCATTCTGAGTATTATGAGGTGATACCTCATTGTGGTTTTGAGGCCCTTTCTGGCAAATAAGCCCTAGCCTAACAGAATTGGGGAAGGACAGAGATACTTGTTCATCATAGTGATGGAAATGATTTGGTTCTATCTAGTGTTTTCTCGTGCAGAGTTTAAACCACTGTTTCTTACTTTGGTCTCTTTAATACATGGCCCTTTCCTCTTCCAGAGGCACCTATTACATCTAACTTACAGGCATTTTGGTGATTTTTTTTTTTTTTAGGCATAAAATCAGGTAGCTTCACAGCTTTCTCATTGGCTTTATGATTTAGCCTCTTCCTGATTTGTCATATCCTTTCTTGTTCTTCCATCTGCTTTCTGGCTTTCAGTATTTCCATACTACTGTGTTTTCTCCTGTTCATATTTTTGTGGGTTTTATGCCTTAAAAATCCCATTATATGATGGCATTTTTTGAGGAAGGAGTTAAAATGAAACAGATGTTTACACTCTGTCATCATTACTCGTTGTCATCTCTAATATATTTCATACCATACTTTTTTGGCATGATACAACTATACCAAATTAAGCCTTTGTGGTATATTTACCATTTAGTAAAGATAGGGACTACAAGTTATTTAACTGTAGTATAGGTTATGTTAAAGTGTACGTTAAACTACCATTAAAACAAAAGCTGAATTATGCACTAGTTCTACGAGATGGATATCACCGTTACATGTGGATGGTTTATGACGGGCGGATTTGCTGCATTTGCTCACATTCCCTGTATCTTGTCAGTCTGCCATTTCCTAGCAGGTGTTTTTGTCCATGTGGTCAAAGTTATCCCCACATCCATGGCATAGCTTACAGGAAAGGGAAACAAAGTGTGGAGGGTAGCCAGCTTCCTTTTTAGAGGAAGTGGGCTGTAGGTCGCTCAGAGGGTCAGTTGTAAGCTACCAGGCAGGCTAGGAATTATGTAATTTCTACGTGGGGAGCTGTTTAACCTGCTAAAGCATAGATGGGGAGGCTGAGCAGTGTGGGCCATAGAGGATGATGTCATGTTGGATTCCCCCAAAGCCATTCTCCCAGACAGGACTGGTTTTTCAGATAGCTTGCTAAAATTCTGAATAGGTTAGTTTTTGTTTTGTTCTGTTTTTTATGGTCTTTATTCAAGTTTTCATGCTTATTTTATGATGTTAGGAACTACCCTAACATTTAATTTAGTGGTTAAGTCAAATTTTAGTTTACTTTTTGTTAAAGTTTATTTTAATTATATAAAGTCTTGTTTTAAAGAATTTTTGGTAATGTTTGAACTTATAAAGTGGATACTCAAATATTTTTTCAGAAAATAACATTGATCTCCATTTCTAGTCAGCTAAATCAAGAGTTAAGAATATGTGAAAGTCATGCCACTATCTTGTGTCTACAAAGGCAATTGAATTTAGTTTTGATTTTCACCATAATTAATTAGAATTAAAACTTTTACTTCAAATAGAAACCTTCATATCAACTGTAATGATTTTACTGATATGACAGTTGCCATTAAAATTAAGCTAGATTAGAGAGAGCTGATATTATGAAGTAGAAATCACTATGATGTGATCAAGCCAAGAAGGAAGGTGACCTGTTTGTACATGAAGGGAAGGCCATGCTCTTAGGAAGTTTTGTGAACTCTGTGAAAGGACTGGAATATTTATTACCTTTAGAAGATGAAAAGATGTTTACATATATTTAATATATTTTAACTATTATGTGTCTTCCTGTAATACCTACCAGAATCTTGATGTATAATATTACCTATTATTTTAGAAGGACATTTTGCATGATGTTAGGTCCAAGAAGTTTTTGTTTCTGCGTTTCTCATATACTAAGAAACCCTGGTTAAAAGTCCTCTTCTTTTGAGAATCCTGTGGCCTACGTCCTGAGGACAGTTGCATAAAGGAGATTCTAGTGTAATAATACATTCTTAAGAGAAGCAACTTAAAAACATCCATGTTATCAAAAATCTAAACTTCTCTAATTTGTTTTATTTTTTAATCTTAAATTAGGCCACAGTGTCTTGTTATGACAGGTGCTCCAAACTCACGCCCAGCTTTACTTCATCTTGTTCATGATTTCACAAAAAATGTTGGTTTGATGATCTGTAGTCATGTACATATGGTAAGTGTTTGTATTGTTTTTTTTATATTAAAACATTTTTTGCTCTGTGTATATAATTTGTAATTTGTGGGGCTTTCTAGGTATGAAACGATTTGACAAGATAAATCTGTTGAGTTTGTTCGGGGTTTTTTTTAAGTTAGTTATTTTCTTCAAAATATTATCGCCTCTATACTGTCTCAAAACTTCATTTTAGAAAAGATTTTAGAATTTTAAATCTTCGTTCTTTTTCTTATTTATTATGAGATTTTACCAAACTATATTCCTCTTATAGAATGGTTTGGCTAAGAAAAGTGGCTTCTTGATAACTAAGGAATCTAAATGATACACAGTGTGTGTATTTTCTTACTAATATTTCTCATACTGTTCTGAGAACACTGGGAACATTTACTACCCAAAGAAAAAAGAGGTTCGAGGAGGTAGATGAATGGTGATAAATATCTAGCATCTAGTACATAAGAAGAGCAGAGTAAATGCTGAATTTCCAAGTTTGAACACTGTTAATTGCCTGTTCATTTGTGTTTTAACCATGAGTACTAACATTACTAAAAATAGTGGTAAGCGTCTGCCTTCGGCTCAGGTCATGATCTCGGGGTCCTGGGATCGAGCCCCGCATCGGGCTCCCTGCTCCTTAGGAAGCCTGCTTCTCCCTCTCCCACTCCCCCTGCTTGTGTTCCCTCTCTCGCTGTGTCTCTCTCTGTCAAATAAATAAATAAAATCTTTAAAGAAAAGTAGTGGTAAACATTTCACCCAAAAGTAGTTTTCTATTTTTGGCATCTTGGCTATTGAAAAGAATTCCTAGATGATGGGTCACCTGTTCTGCATGAGAAATTGGAGTATTTGTCAGATTAGCTTTTGTCCCAAACTGTTTTGTTCATCTCATTAGAAATGTGTGTTGGATGCTCCATGTCTCAGCTCCTGCTAGAGTTGATCTTCCGCTTGTATAGTCACAAAGTCAAAGTCGCGTCTGGCCAAGAACATGGACACACTGGCCCCAGGTCCCCCATAGGACTGGTAGTTTTTCAGTTTGTTTGCAAGTTGATCAGTTCAGGTTGGGGTTTTGACCGCAGGAAATTACAAATGGGGAAATTTTCCTACCAGGAAAAACAAACTGTATTTGTCCTTTACTTTTTCACAAACAATTAAGGCGTACTTTTAAACCTACTTTTAGATTTTTGCTTTATATACATTTGCATATAACACATTTTATGTGTTGCTTGCAAGGATCAAAATAGAATTGCAAGTTGAAAATCTCATTTCCTTAATTCTGTTCTTCATCATTTAACAGAAGTATGAAGAAAAAAATGCATTTATATTTTACAGCAAACTTGCATTTTCAGTGATATTTTCAGGTTCCTGAGAATTAATAACTCAGACATTGGGGACAAATGAAAAATAAGCTGGGAAACTTTTTGTAGAAAAACAGAAGGCTCTTATTTTTCTCCATGTGATCTCTTCTCCATTTTCAATAAATTCTAATTTCGCTCATTTACTTAGTGTAATGAAAACTTCCTATTTATATTTCAGTATGTATTTCTTCATCTTCTTTTCTCCCTTTTCTGCTGCCTCCTGTGCCTTAACTGTTCCATCAACCCTATCTTGTCATAATCTACAGAAAGAATTCATTGACATGAAAATGAAGTGTTGTTGTCCTACTTCTTTCCCATCCCCAAGGTTTAGGCACCTTGTTTAAGCTATGTAATGGTGATTTTCTTAAGCGTGGACTGCATTATCTTTCAGTTAAAGGCATTATTAATATTCTTCTCCAAAGGGGCCTCGAAGACAAGCCATGAAAGAGATATCCATTGATCAAGCCAGATATCAGCGGTGGCTTATCAAAAACAAGATGAAGGCTTTTTATGCTCCAGTACATGCAGATGATTTGAGAGAAGGTGCACAGTATTTGATGCAGGTAAATATGTTACACCTTTCAAATAACAAAATTTGAGTTTTGTGTAAGCTTTAAAACCTTTTGCCTTCTAGGTGTCATTCTTCATATTAATAAAAATGGTATATCTTTTCAAATATCTTTATTACTACTAAGATTTGTGTAATCTGAGCGCTTAAGGGACTATAGAGATAATGTGCTGTTGGCTGACAGGGGAAAACCTGTCTGGAAATTACCTTAGCCTGTTTCCCTAAGGTATTTCCCCCTCATTTTCTGCTGCTATACCTCACTGGGTTTTTTTTTTGTTTTTTAAGTGTTAAGTAATGGCAGTCCTTATGTAATTTTTTTAAAATTCTAGTTCCTTACTGTATTTTTCACTATTTATTTACTAAACATAGACTTCACTTTCAGTTTTGTGTATGACACAGTAGTTACATGAGATTTGGAATTAGTCCTGGATTTAAATGCTAGCCCTGCCACTTCCTTATTATGAATTTTTGCTGAGCAAGTTACTCAACTTCTCTGAAACTTAATTTCCTCAGTCAGCCCTAAAGGTTGTGGGAAGAAATAAATGGACTGAGACAGTATTTGCCATCCTATTTTTTTTTTTTAAGATTTTATTTATTTATTTGACAGAGAGAGACACAGCAAGAGAGGGAACACAAGCAGGGGGAGTGGGAGAGGGAGAAGC